CCCTACAGACAGGTACCCATTGCACCTGGGAAGGTTACAATTTTGAGGGAAGGTTAGTGAGAGGGGTGGGGAAGGACCCAAGCATTGTTGGTGCAGAAGAAAGACCTAATTGAATTACTGAACCAGAAGGGAGAGAACTCTTAGATATTTTAAAGAGGGATGGGTTGGTGAGGCTGCAAATCATGATATCAGAAGGGTCAAGATATCCAAGAGGTGACAGGATAGGAACCCATGGTCAGGAAGAGAAATTTCAGGGTTGATCCTCCTAAGAACATTTCTGTGTGGAGCTGGTGAATCAGACTGGAGTGGAGCCAAGGAGGCGTAAGAATGTTGAGAACAGCATGTGGAAAGCATCGCTGGTACTGACGGTGCGTTCACGCCGGGGACTCAATTGGAATGATGCGGCGAGGAGTGTGCTGATTCATGCTGGAGCTTGCAAAGGTGGGAGAGCTTCCTGCAGTTCGGAAGATGAAAACAGCCATGATGGGGAGTCAATGGAATAGTATGGCTTAGCCTTTAACAGGCAGTGGGCAGCAAGATGTGGAAATTTTTTAATTATAGTTGATTTACAATGTGTTACTTTCTGCTGTACAGCAAAGTGATTCAGATATATATATATATATATATATATATATATATATATATATACATAGTATCAATTCTTCTGAATATTCTTTTCCATTATGGTTTATCCCAGGATTTTTTTGGAGGGGGGCATATTTATTTATTTATTTGGTTGTGCCGGGTCTTAGTTGCGACAGGCAGGCTCCTTAGTCGTGGCACGTGAACTCTTAGTTGCGGCATGCATGTGGGATCTAGTTCCCTGAGCAGGATCGAACCTAGGCCCCCTGTATTGGGGCACGAAGTCTTATCCACTGCGCCACCAGGGAAGTTACCCTGTCAGAGGATTCTGAATATAGTTCCCCGTGCTTTACAGTAGGATCTTGTTGTTTATCCATTCTATATATAAAAGCTTACATCTGCTCACCCCAACCTCCCACTCCATCCCTCCTCAGCTCCTCCCCCTTGGCAACCACCAGTCTGTTCTCTATGTCCATGATTCTGTTTCTATTTCATACATAGATTCTTCTGTGTCATATTTTAGATTCCACATATAAGTGATATCGTATGGTATTTGTCTTTCTCTTTCTGACTAACTTCACTTAGTTTGATAATGTCTAGTTGCATCCATGTTGCTGCAAGTGGCAGCATCTCATTCTTTTTTATTGCTGAGTAATATTCCATTGTGTCTGTGTGTGTGTGTGTGTGTGTGTGTGTGTGTGTATGTATACACATCTTCTTTATCCGTTCATCTGTTGATGGACATTTAGGTTGTTTCCATGGCTTGGCTATTGTGAATAGCGCTGCTATGAACATAAGGGTGCATGTATCTTTTTCAATTATAGCTTTGTCTGGATATATGCCCAGGAGTAGGATTTCTGGATCATATAGTAATTCTATTTTTAGTTTTCTGAGGAACCTCCATACTGTTTTCCACAACAGCTGCACCTACATACATTCCCACCAACAGTGTAGGAGGGTTCCCTTTTCTTCACACCATTTCCAGCATTTATTATTTGTAGACTTTTTGATAATGGCCATTCTGACTCGTGTGAGGTGATACCTCATTGTAGTTTTGTTTTGCATTACTCTAATAATTAGCGACGTTGAGCCTTTTTATGTGCCTGTTTACCATCTGTATTTCTTCTTTGGAGAAATGTTTATTTAGGTCTTCTGACCATTTTTTGGTTGGGTGGTTTGTTTTTTTGTTGTTAAGTTGTGAAAAGTTTTTTGTTTTGTTTTGTTTTTGCGGTACGCGGGCCTCTCACTGTTGTGGCCTCTCCCGTTGCAGAGCACAGGCTCCGGACGCGCAGGCTCAGCGGCCATGGCTCACGGGCCCAGCCGTGATCTTCCCGGACCGGGATCTTCCCGGACCGGGACACGAACCCGCGTCCCCTGCATCGGCAGGCGGACTCTCAACCACTGCGCCACCAGGGGAGCCCAAGTTGTGAAAAGTTTTAAAAGAGAGAACACAAGGGAACCTCTCGATGTTGAGTCAGCGGGAGCACGGGAAATGGTACAGATGCTTGTGTGGGAGATGGCTCCTTCAAGAGAAGAGATGCAGAGAGTGGCTGCATCTCTCCAGCTTTGGCCTCCCTTGTAGGTGCACAGATACTATTAGTGGAATGGAATAGGGGGTAGAATCTTGAGAAGTGTGGGAAAGGAGAGAGCATTCTGCTATTGGCTCTGCCGGGAATGCTCCTGCCAGGTATGGCACAAGTGACTCTGTTCCTTCAGAGTCTGCAAAACTGTACAGTGGGGAAAAAAATTTTTTTAATAGTAAAATAAAATGAGCTAAAAGATCATAATAAAAAGATGGGGCCAGACCTTGTCATGACCCTGGCAGGCTGTGTACTTCTTGTTAACAACTCTTGTTACCATGATGGTTTGAGGAGGGCTGTTAAATGTTTTGATGGGAAAGGGGGTTTCTCTCTCTAAACAGATACGTGAATGATTTCGAATTTTACCTCTTTTGAGTTAGGCAGGTTCTAAAAACCGCTGCTGTGATGTGTGGTCCAGCCACTTGGCATTTGTAAAAATCTGCTCAGATTTAAAGTTTTAGACCCATATTTGTCTTTTCAGTCTTATCAGAGAATTCCCCTCACATACACACAGTGAAGCAACAAACAGGAGGTCCTTGTGCAGTTTGAAAACCATTTGCATGAAAGCTTTATTTCTCTTTCCTGCCTGAGAAAGGAGGTAAAGAGAGATTTCCTGGGCGTCAGGAGACAGGCATCCTTCTTTCCCGTGGCTCAGCCTCGAGCAAGCACCTCTGTCCATTGTGCTGAATATTCCTGCATCTCCCTCAATCAGTTCCTCCTCATCTTGGACCAAAATCAAGGGATTACAATTAACCCTCTAAAGGACATGGGTGTGTTATTGTTGGGGTTGGGGGTCTGGATTAGGATTAAGACCCCTCTCCCTCTCCTGCCCGTAAATAACCCAGAAGTCAGTGTCTTCCCAACGCCCCCTGCACAGGCAGCAGCAGGGCACATGCTTCCTACCGCCGTGCAGAGGGTCTTTCTGTTCCATTTCAGCCTCCCAGCTTCTTCTTCCCACCCCGACCCCGGCCACTGTGTGAGCCTTGGAGGAAGGCACGGCCCATCACCAGGTGTGGGAGCCAAGGTGGGACCAGCGCTCCCCGGCAGGCAGACAGGGGATGGGGGTGGGCACCTGCGTGGAAACGGGCGAACCTCCGGCTGTCAGAGCTCTTCATCTTCCCAGCTGTCTTCGTCTTCCCAGCTGCTGGAGGTGTTTTCTCCCCCTCCAACCAATACCATGCCCGAGGCTCCTCCAGCACTGTGATCCCCAGTGACACAAAGGTGGAGGGGGTGGGACATCTCGAAGGACCGTCCACACTGATAGATGCAGTGTGTTGGGGTGGGAGGTCCCCAGAGGGAGGTCAGAAATGGAGGCTTAACAAGCCCAAGCCACGGTTGTGCTGGCAGTAGAGGCTGGGGCCCCTGAGCGACGGTAGGAGCTGGACTAAGTATTATTGCTGGGTGATGAGCAGACATCAGGACGCCGGGGTCAGACACCCAGCTCAGATCTGTGACTGCGGCCCAACCACGCACCCTTTCGATACCTTGGGCCCCTCATCTGCATGATGGGGGTAACCACAGTGCTTGCCTCCTTGGGTTATGACGATTAAAAGACCTGATGGCTTTAAGTGCTTGAAAGAGGGGCTGGCACATGGCACGCTATTGTCAGACCCAGTCTTCAGCCCCCAGCCCCGCGGCCTGACGCCTCCACCCTCCCGCCTTGTGCTCCTGCCAGCTCCCTTGTGAGGTCCTGCAGCAGATGACGTGGCCTCTTGAAGCCGGTTTCCTCTGCTATAGACATGGCAACATGGACCCCTAGTGTGGAAGGAGAGCCCTGCCACTGAAGGTGCCCTCGGTTCTCACTGCTTCTGCTGGCCTGGCAGTGCAAGCGTTTGCGGTCATTCCCTCATTTAGTTTCCAGGATGGGCCCCTTCTCAGGGGCCTGAGATCATGGAGCCTGGGAGCTGTTAAGGCCAAGACTCCAACCCAAGCCGTTGGGTGCTGGGCTGAGTCTGGCCTGTGTGAGGTGGAAGCAGGGAGACCTGCTCCTGGGGCAGTGAGTGGGCTCCATAAGGTGGCGTGTGCCTGCGCTTCCCCCACAGTGCAGACCCCCACAAGAGCTCATCTGTTACCTCTCACGGGGTTCATCTCATCTCTAAGCTCAAGGACAAGGAACCAGCCCCCTGGGCCCAGGCTCCCAGGGCCCTGCCAGCTGGGAAGGTCTGAGGTGGGGCCCACAATGCCCCTCCCATCCTGGGCAGCTTGGGGAGGGCGGCCCCCAGGACAGAACGCAGGGCACTTGGGGTCTGTACAACTTATCAGTGGCTTTATTACTCTCCAGATGCTGGTGAACTGTCGTCTCCGACGTGCTTCCCACGGGCAGGCATCTCTGTCCATCCCATGCCTTCTGGCTCGCAGAGAGACAAGCCAGACCAGGGAGCCCACTGCCAGAACCCAGGTCTCTCCTGTCGGAGCCGTCCCCGACTCCGCCCTGGGGGGTTGCCTCCTGGGGGGGGGTGCCTCCTGGGGGGGGTGTCCTGTCGGAGCCGTCCTCCACTCCGTCCTGGGGGGTGTCTCCTGGGGACAAGACCCAGTCCCCTTCCTCCAGCCTCCTCTAGACCAGGGGCCCCGCCTGCTGCTCCTGGCCAGTCCTGCCCCCCACCCGGGAGAGGGAAGGACTGCGGAGTCTCCTTCTACAGGCGGAAGAGACTGCGAGGACGAGAACGGCGTGAGATCCGAACAGGAGTGAGGTTTGGGACATAAAATGAGAGTTGGGAAGGAAAAGAAAGCTCTAGGGCACCAGGAGGTTCGGACAAAGGAGGGGCCGGTGGAGAAGAGAGACGGGGCAGAGGAGCCGGTGAGGGACGGGAGGGGTTGCACGGCGGGGCGGGGCGGGGGCTACCCCATTGGCCAGGGCGGGAAGGGACCCCCGCCTTCGGCGCCCGGCGCCGCCGCCCCGCCCGCGCCCGCCGCGCGCCCGTGGATGCGCTGGTGGCGCAGCACGTGCTCGCGGCGCCCGAAGCCCTTGCCGCACTCCCAGCAAGCGAACGGCCGCGCGCCCGAGTGCGTCTTGCGGTGGCGCACCAGGTGCTCGCGCCAGTAGAAGGTCTTGCCGCACTCGCAGCAGGCGTGTGGCTTCTCGCGCGCAGGCAGCGGGCGCAGGGCCGGACCCGGGCCGCCGGGGTGCGTGCCACGGTGGCGCCGCAGGTGCTCCTTACGCCGGAAGGCCTTGCCGCACTCGGGGCAGGCGTGCGGCTTCTCGCCCGAGTGGCTCTGCCGATGGCGCAGCAGGTGCGCCGGCTTCAGCGAGGCCTTGCCGCACTCGGGGCAGGACGCGGAGCCCGGGGCCGCCAGGAAGGCGGGCAGGCCGGGCGCCGGTGGGGGCGGTGGCGCTGGCTGGGGGCTGCCCGGCTCCTGCTTGTAAGGGCGCGCGGCCTGGGCGTCCCCCGTCGCCAGTTCCTCAGCCCCGGCGGCCGCGTCTCCTGCAGGCAAAGGCGCAGTCAGGGGGGGCGCAGGGCACAGCCGGGCAAGGGAAGGCCGTGAGGGCGGCCCGTGTCCTGGCTAGAGGGGTGGTCCCGGGGCAGGAGGTGAACGCTTAACGCCAGGGAGCCCTTCGGGAGGGAAGAGCGTTGTCCGCCAGCTTCTGATTCATCCCTGTGTCCCCGTACCGCACAGGGCCTGGTGCAGAGTAACTGCCCTATAAACGAATGGATGGGTGGATGGACGGGAGGAGGAAATCGATAGGTAGGTATGTGGTAAATGAGAGCGTGTAGACGGATGTTGGAGTGGATGGATTGGGGGATGGATGGATGCGTGGGTGCACGGGTGGGTAAGCGGGGATGGATAAGTCGGGTGGGTGGATGAACCACACACTTCCTTTCTTCAGGTTTCCAAACTGCTCTACGGAATTCCAAGGAGATAAGCAACCTTTAAGTGTCACACTAGGACGGGTGTGATAAAAACCTGTTAGTCTCTCCCTCTGTGCCGGGCACGGTGCCGAGCACGTTGGTGTGCCGTCTCATTCCACCCCCGCTGTGGTCCCCGTTGAGGGACAAAAGAGGGCACTGCCTCGGGTTCCCAGTCACCGTCCCGGCGCTGCTCCCTCTCCGACCCACGCCCCTCTGGAGGTCCACAGGCACCTCCCCCCCCCCCCCGACCCCGGCTCCACAGGCCTCTCTCTCTTTCCTTCTCCCTCCCCCTTCTGGGCTATGTGTTCACTTCTCATCCCATCCTTCTGGGCTGGAGGGAAGCTACGTGCGCCAGGGCCCCCCCCCCCCCCCCGACCCGGGCTCTACAGGTCCTGATGGTGTCATCAGAAGGGCCCCCATCCTGCCACCTCTACACGTGGCCTCAGAGATGATCCCCAGCTCCTCCGTCCTCTCCAGCCACAGCCCTGGCACAAGGTGAGCGCCACCCTCCCGCACCGGGTCTCCAGGGGCCTGAGTCCACGCCGGCTACCGGAGTCACCTTTCTGCCTCTGGTGGGCATCCTCGGGTTTTGCCTCCCGGGTCTGTTCCCCGCTTTGACGAGATTCAATCGGATTCTCCCTTCCTCACCCTAATGCCTGTGGTCGGGGTGCAGCCAGCACCTTCCCCAGCTCCCGGCCCAGGCATCGGCGCCAGGCTAGCCAATGAGAAGAGAGTCCTGCACAGTGCCTGGGTCAGGAGGAGCATGATTGCAGGAGGTCTCGCCCCGCGAAGAACTGGGGCTCAAAGGCTCTGGGGTCAGGCTGCCAGCGTGCAACCCTGGCTTGGCCGGCACCCGAACCTGGGTGAGTTATTTCACTTCTCTGTGCCTGGGTTCCTGCAGCTACAAAAGGTAGCCGATGATGCCGGGGACCTCAAGGGCGGGCGCGGGATTTTGGCGAGCTGGCGGGACCACGCCTGGCGCATCATGGGCGCTTGCTGTCCTGTCTGACACCCCACTCGCCGTGCCCTCCAGGGCAGGGCGTGTCTGATTCAGCTCCCGCCCTGGTGCCAGCACGGGGCCTGGCTCACAGCAGGGATGTTCACTGGACAAATAAAGGATGGACAGGAGAGGGTCCCCCGGGGTTGGGAACGCTGTGGGGAAGGGGTGAGCTGCTCACCTGAGGGCGTTACCCCACCGTCTTCCTTTCCCACGCCGACCCCGGAGCCTTCTGCCGCATCCCGAGGTGCCCTCATTGCTGGTCCCTGAAACCAGAGATACCACAACCCCAACTGAGCAACCTGAGCCACAGCCTCTACTCTCCCTCTCAGTCCTCCCGCTCGCTCTGGGGGAAGCCGGCTGTCAAGCTGGAGGATGCTCGGCCACCCCACGGAGAGGCCCATGTGGCGAGGACGGAGGCCTCCAGCTGACCACCGCGTGAGGGAGCCGCCTCAGAATCAGATCCTCCAGCCCTGGGCCAGCCTCCAGGTGAGGACAGCCCCAGCCGGTCTTAAATGCAACCTCGTGAGAGACCTTGAGCCAGCACTGCCCCAAACTCCTGACCCACAGAAGCTGCCGGAGATGATAAATGTTTACTGTTCTGAGCCACTAAGTTTGGGGCGATTTGTTACACAGCAGATAACTGATACACCTGCTTTGAATCTTATTTTAGCTTCTTAATGCCTTTTGCAAACTCCTCGACAAAATGCAGAGAAGCTACTTTTAACTCAGCAAAAAATAAAGGAAGTTGAGAACGGAACTTTTCCCAGCTCAACCGGTGGACAGCTCCGAGCAGCATGGCACCAGCCAGACGACCAGTGGTTTAAAAAGAAGCTTCACACTACTTCTGGTTCCTTTATACTCTTTCTCATTGTTCTTTGAGCCCATGCCTCCAGGAAAAGACCAGAATTCTCCTGGTGCTGATGAGGAAGAGCTGTCAGGAGTTACAGGCACCCAAGCCCCCTTCTCACATTTCACTTGTTGCAGTGCTTTTGGACCCAAGCAGCTGTTAGGCTGCAGACCAGTGATGCCGACAATTCTACCAGCTGGCGAGCAGATGGCAAGAAGCTTCCAGGGCCTTTTATGAAAGCTCGTCGTTAGGGATCCCTAAGTGCCCACCTTGCCTGGTGGTGGCGGGAGAATCCGCACGGTCACCTTGCTACTGCAGCAGACTAGTGTGGCTCAGGGCGTTACAGCAACGCAGGTGCTGCCCCGTCACTCGCGTCTGCTGTGGCCCGGTCACTGCCACGCGCTCAGCTCCTACCTCTGCCCGGGGCCCCGCCTGCCCCTCCAAGCCCAGGCAACAGCAAACGGCCGATGGTGTCCTGGGCGTGCCAGGCGCTCAGAGCCCCACGCTTCTGCACGCGCTCTTCCCTCTGCCTGGAGCCCCGTTCCCACCCGTGCCCGGCCTGCCCTCCTACACACCCTGCAGGCCCTGGCCAAACGCCAGCTCTGCCACCTCCCGCAGGTTCAAGGGCGCCCCCACGCTGGTACCCTCCACACTGCACTCCCAGCAGATTCATCGAAGCGTGACACACGTACAGTGAATGCACGTGGTTCACGGCACACGACCCGAGGAGTTCCACGTGCGTATGTGCTCATGAAGCCCCAGAACACACACGTGGCCCCGCAAGCTTCCCTGTGCACATCCGTAACCTCCCGCCTTCCCTCCAGCAGTGCAACCACTGAGGTGCTTCCCGGCACGATGCAGTGGTCTCTGCCTTCTAGGACTGTATGTTCACAGAGCCATCCAGTAAATCGGTACTTCGGCGCGGAGGGGTCTAGTTTCTTTCACTCAACATCATTATTTTGAGATTACGGAAGGCCTACAGTTGTCTTTCCTTGGTTTTGGTACCAGGAAAACGCTGGCCCTGTAGCATGAGCTGGGACATTCCTCCTTCCTCAGATGTCGGGAAGAGCTGGTATGGTCATTTTCCCCGCAAAAGGCCTGGTCGACCTCCCAGTGGCGCTGCCTGGGCTCGCGCGCTCCAGAAGGGCAGGGACTGGCCTGTCGCACTTCTGTGCTGACCCTGGCACCCATCTTTTTATAAATAGCAGTTTTACCGCGACATGACTCATATGCCAGAGAACTCACCCACTTAAATTGCAATTCCCCGGCTTTCGGTACGTTCCGTTGTGCAACCATTACCACAATGGATTCGAGAATATTTTTATCACCCCCAGCCCCCGTACCCCGTCCCTGTCAGCAGTCACTCCCCACTTCCTCCCCGCCAGCCTCCGGGAACCACTAATCTGCTCCCTGCCTCTATGGACCTGCCTCTTCTGCGAATCTCACGGCAACGGAATCATGCAACGAAAAGTCCTTGTGACCGGCTTCTTTCATGTTTTCCTCGTGTTTTTGATGTTTGCCCACGGTGTAGCACGTCAGGGCCTCACTCCTCTATGGCTGAGTGGTGTCCTGCTGCGTGGACAGGCTGCGTGCTGTTGATCCACTCACCAGCCAGTGGATGTGAGGGTTGTTTTCACTTTTTGGCTGTTACGAGTGACGCTGACTTGCTACCACTCAGGTCGTATCGCATGCAAGGTACGTGTGGACGTGTTTTCACTTCTCTGGGTTCACACACAGGAGTGGCGCTGCTGGCCCACGTGGCCGCTCCACGTTCAACCCGAGGAACTGCCAGACTGGCCCCCACCGCAGCTGCACCATTTTGCATCCCCACCACCTCAGAGGGTCCCGACCCCCGGAGCCTTTCACCGCAGCCCTCCATGGACACTGAGCAAGTGCACGGACAGAGGGATGGAGGTGTCCAACCACCTGCCTCTGCTCCAATGGCTCAGGACCTGCTCCTCGAGGAAGAGGGTCAAGACAAGGGCGTGCCGACGTGTGTGGGGGCAGCTGGCACGGGGCCACCTGGGTCCTGGGCGCCTCCAGCCACAGACCTGCTTGGGGGGCCCAAGCGAGTCACTTCCCACGCGGGGGTCAGTTGTGGGGGGAGCTGGGCAGCACATGGTCTCACCAGGAGCCCCCGCTCAGACTGGTGGATGCCAAGCTCCCAGCTCCCTGGCCTCAGTGGGGCCCGGTAACCCCAGGTGACGCCTGCCGGTGCGCAGGCAGGATGGGAGCAGGACGCGGGCCAGCTCGCCCCGGAGTGGAGCCTGGGAAGCTGCACTGCCCGGCCACCCTGCGATTCCCAGGCACACAAGCCTGGGAACTTTATACTGCTGGGGGCGGGGGGGCGCGGCCTGCAGGTGGCCTGCGGGCTCTCTGGTTCTGGGTCACAGGCACAGGATGCTGGACTGTGCCAAGGCTGAGCCCCATCCCCAGGAAGATGCTGGACCAGGTGTTGGCACCCAGCAGGGGACAGAGGCAGGGATCTCGGGCTACAGCACATGGGTTCTGTCCCTCTTACCCCCCCCAACTGGCTGTGTGACCTTGGGCAAGTCACTCGACTTCTCTGAGCCTCATACCTTCATCTCTGAAATGGAGAGGATGATAGCCTCCAGTGCCCACCCCTCGGGACTGCATGGGAACAGGCAGGCCATGCTGACAGTGCGATCTGGGGGAGGTTTGGCCCTGCTGTATCGGTTTGACCTTCAGACGGACCTGCGATTAAGGTCAGCCTCCCCGATTAGGAAGCCATGTCTACAGAGGCTGGGGAGGCCCCCTGGTTGGCAATATGCATGCTGTCCACGTGACCCAGGGCGAGGAAGCTCCATGAGGGTCTCCCTGCCCCATCCGCCTGCTCCCTCGGCCGATTTTAATCTGTGTCCTTTCACTGTGATGAACAGCAGCTTTCCTCGAGCTCTGAGTACTTCCCATGGAACCCGGGGGTGGTCCTGGGACCCCTGAACTCTGCACACGCGAATCACCTGGTACCTGTCCAGTGCCCAGGCTTTTCCCTGAAAGGGCCAGGGGGCAAAGGTTATCGGCTCTGCGGGCCCTCTGGTCCCTGTCGCGACTGCTCAGCTCTGCCCCGGGGAGAAAGAGGCCACAGGCGACACACGAGTGGATGGCGAGGCCGTGGCCCCGTGAGGCTGTGTCACACCACAGCCCCAGAGGCTGGCAGATATGGCCCTCAGGCTGCAGTCCGCTGACCCCTGAGGTGCAGCCAAGGGCTGACCTTACCCAGACAGAGGTCTGGCCTTTGCCCTCACCTGCTGGGAGGGGACCGCTGAGCCCTCGCTCAGCACGCCCTGCCTGCCAGGGGCCTTGGGCTGTGCTGGACACTCCAACAGCGTAATGCATGTGAAGGCTCTGGTCCACACGATATCCGCTCAGCCTTTCGCGGGGGCTGGAGCCCCAACACCTCCAGGCGCAGAGGTGCGGGGAGCACCCTGGTTGGCGATGCTCCCTGTGTCTTGCACACGTTGTCGCCAGGAGTTGGCACCACCCACGAATCCCCTGGGAGGAACCCTCCTGGACCCTGCCCTGCTGCCCCCTCCTTGGCTGATTTAATGTGTCCTTCCGCTGTGACCAGCCACAGCCATGCGCAGGACGCTGTCGGGGAGCTCTGAGTCCTTCCTGAGCTGTCAGACCTGAGGGTGGTCCCGGGGACCCCGAACTTGCATTGAGCATCAGGAGGGTGGGCTTGTGTACAGTCCCTCTAAACGTCCTCGCTGGCCTGACTTTCCTACCTGACTCGACCATACCCTGGACCTCAGGGTCCCACGGAGCCTGTTGTGTTTGTCTCAGTGTGGAGCTGAGGACCCCCGGCCCTGGGGAAAGGCAGACAGCAGGCCCGGGGTGGGGGGACGCGGCTGTGCAGGCCCCTCCCGCCAGCCGCCCCCGCTCACCCAGAGCTCCTCCAGCAGGGCCACGGCCTCCTCCCCGCTCTGCGGCCGCCTGCTGCACACCCAGGCCTGGAGGTCAGCGGGCAGGGCGCTCAGGAACTGCTCCAGCACCAGTAGCTCCAGCATCTGCTCCTTGGTGTGCACCTCGGGCCGCAGCCAGTCCCGGCACAAGGCGCGCAGCAGGCCCAGCGCCTCGCGGGGGCCCGGGGCGTCGCCCAGGTGGAAGTGGCGGAAGCGGTGCCACGGCGAGTCCAGGGTCAGGCCCTCGGCGGCCCGGCACTCCTGCTTCACAGGCTGGGTGGCCGGGGCCTCCATGGGGCCGGCGGGACGGCAGCGCCTGTTGGGGGGGAAGAGCAGCGGTGAGAGCCTAACTCCGTCCATCCCCCCGAAGCCCCCGCCTCTGCCGTAGGCATGGGGTCGAAAACCACGCTCCGTGCGTGCGTGCATGCTCGCCGCCCACGCCCACCCAGGAGCGGCGGCGGCACCGCGCTCGCTGGCCTCGTGTGGCCTGCCTGTCCTCCCTCTACCCCCGCAGCCTCCCCGCGCACCGAGATCTTAGAACGGATCCCGGCACGCAGCACATGCTCGAGAAAATGTGAGTTGTCATCACCACCATCGATGCCTGGTTACGTCCCAACCCACGTCCCCGAGGCAGACACCCTAGGATACTTGCTCCAAAGCCCCCCCCAATCTCTTCCTTACTAGCCAGTGTGCACAGAACTATGTCCGTCCGTACCCCCCACCAGGTTCATATGTGGAAGCTCTAACCCCAAATGTATTTAGAGATGGGGCTTTTAGGAGGAAATTAAGACTAAATGAGGTCACCAAACCGGGCTCCTACAGGACTGATGTCCTCCTAGGAAGAGCAGATCTGTCTCCCCTGAGTGTGAGGACACAGCAGGAAGCAGCCGTCTGTAAGCCAGGAAGAGGCCCTCACCAGACACCGAGTCTGGCTGCACCTGATCCCGGATGCCCAACCTCCAGAACTGCGAGGAATAAATGTCTGTTGTTGAAGCTGCCTGGTCGGTGGTGTTGTCACGGCCGCCCAGCAGGCCACGACGCCCAGGGGCCCCCAATCACGTCTGCGTACAGGGAAACGCGAGAGACTGCAAGAGGCCCCCCTTATCTGTTCTCCCAATTCTCCTTTTGTAAGACCTGCGCCCCGGCGCCCTCAGGAAGCCGTGTGCCCTCCACTTCCTCTTCCCCTTCCTAAAGGAGGAAACAGACGTGCGGTGGCTTCAGTCGTGAGGGTGACGCAAAGCAGTGGCTCTCGACCAGGGGTGACGTTACCCCGGGGAGGCATCTAGAAAGGTCTCGTTGGATGGGGGTGGGGGAGCGGTGCTGCTGGCATCCGGTGGGTGGAGCCTGGGGATGCTGCTAAGGACCCTACAGTGCACAGGACAGCCCCCCAGCAGAGAAAGACCCAGCCCCTAAGAAACCCCAGCCTAGAACGGTGGTCCTCGAATGGCCTGGGGACCCCTGGGATCTCCAAGATCCTTCCGGGGGGTACCTTGAGGTCAGAACTATTTTCCTAACACAGGTTACCAGCTTTTTCACTGTCATTCTCTCCTGAGTGTATGCTGGGGCCTTCCAGAGGCCACAGGCTGAGAGCAGAGGCAGATGGGAGAACCCAGCTGTTCAAGTCAGACACTGAGATGTGCAAAAAAATGATGCCATGTTTCCAGCTTTTCATTTGGGGAAACATGGTTATTTTTCATTTAAAAAGTGTTATTTTTAAAAAATAAATAAAATAACGTGTCATTTGCTGGGGGGGGGATAAAATAAAGTGTCATTTGCTGGGGGGGGATAAATCGGGACATTGGGACTGACATATACACACTACTATATATAGAATATGTAACTAATAAGAACCTACTGTATAGCACAGGGAACTCTACTCAATACTCTGTAATGACCTATATGGGAAAAGAATCTGAAAAGAGTGGCTATATATGTATGTATAATGGACTCACCTTGCTGTACACCTGAAACTAACACAACACTGTAAATCAACTACACACGAATAAAAAAAAATTAAGAAAAGAAAGTGTAATTTAAATCTTAACATATGGAAAGTTGATTACTGCAATTTCTAAATGTATTAATATTTTGAAATTTTCTCAGCTTTAGTTTCTAACATGACACATACCAATAAATGTAATTCCTGTAAGCAAAAGTGCTTTGGGGGGAGGTCTTCAAAAAATTTTTAAAGTATAAAGGGGTCCTGAGTTTAAAACCTTCAGGAGCCACTGGCCTGCAGCCTGGGTTTTGCTTTGTGTTTTCTTGTTTGTTTGTTTGTTTTTTCCCACACTGTGTGGTATGTGGGATCTTAGTTCCCCGACCAGGGATCGAACCTGCACCCCCTGCATTGGAAGGGCAGAGTCCTAACCACTGGACCACTGGGGAAGTCCCTGCAGCCTGTTTGTTTAAGTCAAGTTTTATTGGCGCACAGCCATGCCTGTCTGCCACACACGGATGATCTTCGAAGACTCAAGGCTGGCCCGACCTCAGGGCCTTGGTACTGCCATTCTCTACCTCCATCTTCGCTCAGCTGGCTCCTTCTCACCTCTGAGGCCCAGATGCCATCCTTCCCTCCTTGGACAGCCTCCCTGAATCACCTACACACCCTCCCCTGCATGTCACCATATTAATTTCATCTCAGCGTTTAATAAGATCTGGTCTTACCATATCTGGGCGCTGATTTCCCTTGCTAGAATTTAAGCGTTGCAAGGGCAAGAGGCCACATATACAGAGCCCAGCATGCTAGCTGGCACTGAAAGAAAATTTATAGGATGACCGGTCCTGTGTGATTAGCATTATTGCCCCCATTTTGCAGATGGAGAACATGAAGGCCTTGCCCAAAATCACCCGGCTAATAAGTGGCAGGGGCTGAACTCACACTGGCGTCTGTCTGGCCCTGGAGCCGGTCACAGCATCACCTTCCACCCACCCATCCTTCCATTTAAAGACTGACTAGCCCAGCAGCGGCAGGAAAGACTTCCCAGAAGACCTGGGCCACAGCTGAGTCTCAAAAGAGGCAGAGAAGCCTGCTCTGTTGTGAGAAAGATCCCTCCGGGACAGGAGTGGAGTCTCACCTGAGTGAGTGAGGCCCTGGGAATCACGCTGAAGGGCCTTGTGACCTCAGGGACCCACGCTCTCAGCTGTCCAAGGTTAGCCCCTGAGGCAGGGCCAGACGGACTCTTCCCTGGGTCCCAGGGTCACCAAGCTCAGGGGCTGCTCCTGAGAAAGCACATACTGACTGATAAATAAGGTCACTCCATGCAGCCACTATGGAGGTTCCTCAAAAAATTAAAAATAGAACTACTGGGGACTTCCCTGGTGGCGCAGTGGTTAAGAATCCGCCTGCCAATGCAAGGGACACGGGTTCAATCCCTGGTCCGGGAAGATCCCATGTGCCACGGAGCAACTAAGCCCGTGTGCCACAACTACAGAGCCTGCACTCTAGAGCCCACGAGCCACAGCTACCAAGCCCGTGTGCCACAACTACTGAAGCCCATGAGCCTAGAGCCCGTGCTCTGCAACACGAGAAGCCACCGCAATGAGAAGCCCACGCACTGCAACAGAGAGTAGTCCCCGCTCGCTACAACTAGAGAAAGCCCGCACGCAGCAACAAAGACCTGACACAAGCCAAAAAAAAAAAAAAAAAAGAGTAAGTAAAGTAATTAATTTTTTAAAAAAGCAGTTTTAAAAAAAAATAGAACTACCGTTTGATAGAGCAATTCTACTTCTGGGTATGTATTCAAAGAAAACAAAAATACTAATTTGAAAAAACACATGCACCCCGACGTTCATAGCAGCATTATTTACAATAACCGCCAAGACATGGAAGCAACCTAAGTGTCGTTGATGGATAAATGGACAGAGAAGATGCAAAATATATATATGTGTGTGTGTGTGTGTGTATGTATATATAAAGTGGAATATACAAATATAAATACATATATAAATAAATATAATGGAATATTATTCAGCCATAAAAAAGAATGAAATCCTACTATTTGTGAAAACATGGATGGACCTCGAGGGTATTATGCTAAGACAAAATAAATCAGATAGAGAAAGGCAAATGTATAATTTCCCTTACATGTGCAACCCAAAAAAAACAAAACTAAAGCAAACTCATAGATACACTGAACAGACTGGTGGTTCCCAGAAGCAGGGGTGGGGGCGCTGGTAGGCAAAATGGGTGAAAAGAATCAAAACTTACAAACTCCCAGTTACAAAAGAACTAATTCCTGGGGATGTAAAGTACCACTTGGCCACTATAGTTAATAATACTCTGTTGTATATTTGGAAGTTGGGCTTCCCTGGTGGCGCAGTGGTTAAGAATCCACCTGCCAATGCAGCGGACACAGGTTCGAGCCCTGGCCCGGGAAGATCCCACATGCCGCGGAGCAACTAAGCCTGTGAGCCACAACTACTGAGCCCGCGTGCCGCAACTAATGAAGCCCACGCGCCTAGAGCCCGTGCTCCGCAACGAGAAGCCACCGCAATGAGAAGCCCACACACCTCAATGAAGAGCAGCCCCTGCTCGCCGCAACTACAGAAAGGCCGCGCGTGCCAACGAAGACCCAACACAGGCAAAAATAAATAAATAAAATAATTTTTTAAAAAGCATTAAAAAATATGTATCTTAAAAAAAAAAAAAGAAAGTTGCTGAGAGAACAGCTCTTAAAAGTTCTCATCATCGGGCTTCCCTGGTGGCGCAGTGGTTGAGAGTCCGCCTGCCGATGCAGGGGACACGGGTTCGTGCCCTGGTTCGGGAAGATCCCACATGCCGCGGAGCGGCTGGGCCCGTGAGCCATGGCCGCTGAGCCTGCGTGTCCGGAGCCTGTGCTCCGCAACGGGAGAGGCCACAACAGTGAGAGGCCCGTGTACCGCAAAAAAAAAAAAAAAAAAAGTTCTCATCATGGAAAAAAATATTCTATAACTCTGTATGGCGATGGATATTAGCTAGACTTATTGTGGTCATCGTTTTGCAATATATACAAATATCAAACCGTTATGTTGTATACTTGAAACGAATATATGTCAATTATAGCTTGACAAAAAATAAGAAGAAACAAAGCAAAATACATCCACACACACAAAAGGTCCCTCTGCTGTGGAAAGCAACTCCTCTTATTCAGGGCCAGTGGCTCCAGCAGCTGCCACAGTGCTCTGTGCTGCCTCCATGAAAGCAACTGTAACACTCCTTTGTGTGTCCCGGTAGCATTATCCAGCCCCACCAGGCACCCTGGAGGCCTCAGGAGACCGCCACGAGGCCTGTGTCTTACTCTGCCCCACCCGTCCCT